ATATCGTAACCTAAGTTAATGTGAAGAGGGCTCGCCAGACTGCTGCTTTTCCCACTTGTTGGAAATCAGAGTACAAGGTCATAAGCAAACTAAAATCAAATGATGACTTTGCCCTCTGTTGTTTTCCAGACAAATAAAACCACAGTCCAGTGTTTGGTTGTTATTCTACTTTAGGATAACCACAGATGCTCATTAGTCTGTTTGTGGGAGAAACCAGTTGTCACAAGCAAGCATATTCACTGCCTCATCATCAACCTACTTGTGTGATATTTGAACATGCTGAGGCATTTTATTTAAATAAATAGGATTGATCTCTTGCCTGCTCATATTTTCAGGACACAGTGATGTTGTAATGGGATTGGTTTCACTAAATAATGATGAACTTCATGAGAAACTCAGATTCTTGCAATATTGTGAGTATGAAGAGCAAACTCAAAAGTATGGCTTGCAGATTTTGTAAAGTAACTATGCTTGACATCTATTTAGCTTTTTAAAAAAGTCTTTAGCAAAATGTATTCATGACCTGTTTAATCAACTCATCCTCAGTACAGAAAAGTCACCTATTATTTGATGTTTTGTATTTTTTTTGGTATTTTTTAATGCTTTATAGTTTTGAACACTTTAGTGCTTTTTCTTTTTTGGAAAAAGAAAACAATTGTAAAGAAAATCTAAATTAAAGTTAATTTAAAAAATAAGTACTACAGTGAGTAAAAAAAAAGTTCCTCCAGTCAAAATAGATGTGACTTTGCAAACATGTACCTGAGATTTCCTATCAATGTTATGTTGTATTTAAAAGCAGTCTTCAGAATATTCCCTTAAAAAAAATATATGGGCTAGTAGCGCAAATTGTATGTATCTTAATCTTCCATCTCTGTATTTTCTTAAGTCAAAATTATTTTCTATCTTCTATGAGTCTACTGTTAGATTCATCCCCCTCAGTAGAACACAAATCCACAGATTGCTGCATCTGCTTTGGGCAGACATTATTATTTATTTGTTAAATTTATTTGCCGCCTATCTCACTGTGGGGCTACTCCACGCAGCTAGACATATTATGGCCCAAAAGCCAGTTTGGTCTAGTAGTTAAGGCGCCAGACTTAACCAGGAGACTGTGAGTTGTAGTCCTGCTTTAGCCATAAAAGCCAGCTGGGTGACCTTGTTTCAGTCACTTTTTCTCAACATAACTCACGTCACAGGGTTGTTGTGGGGAAAATAGAAAGAAGGTGTGTTGAATATGTTTGCCGCTTTGCATTATTTGTAAAAATAATAAAAGTGGGATACAAATCAATAAATGAAAAATAGCTCCTCTTTCCCAGATTAGATAGCATCCAAAGCAAGTGTGGATATTCGGTCACTTGTGACAGCCAATTCCTATGGAAATAAAAATATAATTATAACCCATTAAATAATTAATATTTTAACATGTCAGCTACAACTGCCTAATTATAGTTCTGTCTTCTGTCATTTGTTTTTAGACCAAGTAGGGTGTATGTGAAGCATAGAATAAATACTGGTAAAGCCTAAGTCTGATTCAGTTCTGACTCAATCCTAGAATTGCTAAAGCCACAAGGTCACTAGAACATGCATTTTTAAATCAGAGTTCTTACTGTATTTTAATAAGAGTTCTGATTCAAAATGCATGTTCTAAATTTTGAATTCATGCTTTGGGTAATTGTTAAGTAGAAAAGCAGATTAACTATTTGGAAGACCTCAGTGTGGTTTGTACTGAATGTATAAATATATATTGACAAATCATCAATATAGCATTTGGTCAGTTCCATAAAATGTTTACTGCAAGGAGTTCTTGGAATATGGATTAGGACCAACTGTGAGTCACAAAGAACATGGGAGGGTCACAATATTTTTTAATCCTTGTGCAGTGGAAGCAATGTCAAACCACAACTTGGATTTTGCTAGTTACTTTGCCTGCACCACCTAATAGTGGGTGATTGTTGTGTTGCAAAGTCCCAGGAGCTTTGTGATATACTTATTCAAACTTGAATATTAAAAAAAAAGATATATGTATATCTAGCCCAGTGCTGACATCAATGAAATCATGACTGGATCAAACTCATTTATCACTTTATTGTCCAACATTTTATGTTATTTTAACTCAGGGAATACCTCGGTTCTGACCATTGGCATACTTTTTGAAACAAAAAATGATTAAAAAATGTAATACACTGGAAACAGAATAATATCTGGGTTTTTTTTTCTTTTATAGCCATTGGAGCAATTCCATCTCCTTTTGATTGCTATCTTTGCAACCGAGGTTTAAAGACTCTGCCAATCCGCATGAAGCAGCATTTTCACAACGCATTGACTGTGGCCCAATACCTTGAGTCAGATCCAAGGGTTGAAAAAGTCATCTTCCCTGGTATGTTGCCCTCAGATAACCTGGAAGTCTTCCTAGAAGGATTTTTGTATTCCATACCGGGCAAGACCTGATGAGCTACCCAACTAAAACTCTAATCTTTTACAATCGTTGTAAGCCACCTGAATTTGGTTTCTCCCATCTCCACTTTATAGTCATATCACCTCCTGCTGCATATCATCTTGATTTCATAAGTCATTGATTCCATTTTTAAATTAGACACATTCCCAAAGGGCTCTAGTGTTACTAAACAAAATCATTATGGAACAATGCCCCCTTTTCAATAGATTTCCTCTGAAGGGGAAAAGGAGGAAGGAGTATTAGAGAAAGATGGAGGGATTGCATATAGATGATGTCTTAAGCTGCTAGATACCCCCGTATAGTGCTGTTGGTAAGATCAGGAATTAAACAAGAAAAGCCTCATCTGGAAAAATCTGCATATGTCAGCTATTGAATGTGTTTATCTGAATTAAAGTAATAATACAGGCTGGGTTATTTGAATAATGTATGATTCATTGCAGGATTACAGTCACACCCACAATATGATCTGACGCAACGCCAGTGCACCGGCTGCCCAGGAATAATTTCCTTTTACATCAAAGGAAACCTTGAAAATGCTTCTCAATTCCTTAAAAACTTAAAGGTAAAACTTATCCTTGTAGACTGCTTTTAAAAAAGCCACGCCACTGTTTTGTGACTCTGTCAGGAATTGTGTACTGTACTGTGGTCCTTTCTTCCCCACTGAAGCCATTATGGATTTTGAGCATTTGTAGGAGCTCCCAAAATGTAAATAGTCCATGTTAGTTATAGGAAATGGCACTAATGAAGGGAATGAAATGAGTGTATCCAAATGAATGGAAGTCGGGCAATGTGAGCCATGTAATAGCATCCCTGAAGCCTCTCTGCCATCTTCCTCCACAATCATAAATGCAGCCTAGAAAGCAAAACAGCTTCGGCTGATGTAACAGTGTCGCACTGGTTTTGAAATCTGAAGGCACCAAGCTAGAAAGTGGAAGACTGCAAATTCAAGCCCCACTTTAGCCATGAAAGCCAGCTAAGTGACTTTGGGCCAGTCACTCTCTCTCAACCCAACCCACCTTGCAAGATTGTTGTTATATGGAAAATAGGTTGAGGATAGTGTATTGGACACAGTATATTTACTACCTTGGGTTATTTGTACAAAAAATTATGAAGGCAGAATTCAAATAAATTATACATTTGATTTCAGGAGTCAATTTATTGATGTGTCAACATATATCATTGGAAAAGCATTGACTTTTAAATATAGCTGTCCATTCAAGTCTCTTGTTGGATATCTATAGCTGGCATTATTTATCTTGATTTGTAGCCATTGGCTGTGGCCAAATATGATTTTGTCAGTACCTGCATCCAGATTAATGTGCATTTAATTAAATGTTCTGTTGGTACCAATATTTGAGAATATTACAAAACCATCCCAAGCATAAAGAGCATGGAGGACGTGAATTCTAATTGGGATTGGAGCTGGTAAGAATTATGTTAATAATTAGAGTTTTGAGATTAAAGCATCATTTTATGAGTAGTGAAATGTTTCCTAGTCTTGCTGACTTCCAGGTGTGCAGACTTCAATTCCCAAAATTTCCCAATTAGTATCACCCACAATGCCACCAATCTCATTATCCAGAATGATTCAATGCAATAAAAATAGAGATATAACAAAAATTATAAACATGATCCACAGAGCACTCTTAGTTGACACCACTGAAATTTGTCAATGAAAATAACTGATATTCTGTGAGACTAATGTTTTATTAAATGGAGAGTCCAATGTTCAATCATTACATGGCTTGATGAAACCATTTTGTCGTTTAACCCTTCTCCTTCAAAGATTGAGCCTTTTCAGTCTTACCCACCTTGTACTGTACTATTAGTTTAACTCACGAGTGGGCAACTATGGGCCCTTTACGATTTGTGGACTTCAGCTCCTACAGCCTGTGGACTTCAATTACTAACCATGTTGGCTCAGGAATTCTGGGAGTTGAAGTCCACAAGTTATAAAGTTGCCAGAGTTGTCCACTCCTCCTGGAGCCAGAATACCAGTCTTAAAAGAACAAGTCCTACTTCTGCTCAATTCTTAGTCTCAGATCAAAGTGTTTTTATTGACAATGCATGAATAAAAGTCAACTAACTATTGAATCTTACTTTCTCACACCAATTTGAGATAGTAACCTAACTTAGGAAGTAGAGAGTAGGCCTTTCTTTGCTTTCATGCCTGAGGTAATACATCATACAAACAATCCAACTTTCTGTCTGAAGGCCATGCCAGCCTTGGTGGCTACTGAAACTCTGTTAAGTAGCAGCATCTTACTGTTCTGCTGTGTAGGCTTTGACACGTTTATAGTGAAAAGGAATTTCTCTGTGGAGGATCCCTGAAAATACCTGAGATCACCCTATATTCTTGAAAACAACAGTACTAGCTGGAATCATAATATGTGGGACACTTCTGACACTTTAAAAAAAAAAGTATGAGGGGAGAAAGAGCTAGAATATCAGAGAGTGTTTTTGTGCTGCCACTGTTTCTACACGTTTGCCTGAGAGGCCAATATTGCCATAGCAGAACAGGCAAGATTTGCAAAGGGAGGCCATGAGGCAGGTTGCTACATGCAATGAAAGAACATTCTTTGCATTTGATGGACTTGTCCTGAATTGTGTTAGATTCTTATGGGATTTTAATTAATTCTGAACATGGCTTGCCTCTTTTAAAAAGTTATATAAAGTTTTTTTTAATGTATTTCATATTTTATTTGTACCCTACCCAGAGTCCTGCTGCGAGATGTGTGGTTTTCAAAAACTGATAAAAAATAAAAGCATTTTTTATATTGACTGGGATAAAAGTACTTTCTCTCTTATGTTTCACAGATTTCATTGTATTTGGTTTCAGATTCCCAGAATTTATCCTCTGAAGTTAAAAGGCAATTTAGTATTTTTACTGATATCAGACTTCTGTTTTCAAGAGAAGATGGCCTGGAATGAAAGCAAATTTGTGCCTCTTGTTGTGATTAAGTGTTTTGCATTTCTTGCATCTCTCTTATTTTGCAAAAAGATTTTCTTTTGTCCGCTCTGTCCGTTTGCTTTTACTAGGCTAACACACAGTTAAGTTTGCATAAGAGTAAACTGCATGCCTTAAATTTAAGTAATATTATTTGAAATACAGTATTTTTATATTTCTTGTTCTAGCTTTTCACCCTCGCTGAAAGTCTGGGAGGATATGAAAGTCTAGCAGAGCATCCGTAAGTAAATCTTTTTTGACATCCCTTAATAAAAGTATTACACTGATATTTATCAGAATATTTGATACTTTATTCACTCTGCACTCCAACTAAACAATATGAGTTTTCTTACATAGCCTTCGCAAAATTTACTTGGAAACTGTATCTTCTTTCTTTTTCACTTTTATGAATATTCTTCTTCCATAAGTGTCATCTTTTCTGTGAGAAAACACTACCATTCTTCAAACATCTAAATCAGTGTTTCTGAATTCTAGCAACTTAGTTCTGTTGGTTCAGCTGTTCACAATAATTCCATTTTCTCATATGGCCCCTTGGGAAAATTAATTGCCCATCCCTTCTTTACATGCTTACTCAAATAATACGGTTGATTGGAAATAATGATGGTAGAAGAATTCATTCCTGCAACTTGGCTTAGGAGCCTCTGGTAATACAATGCCAGCCACAGCAATTTATGTAGAATCTCTTCTTGCACAATTTTAGTCAAACTTCCCCACATGGCAGTAGCCACTTATCTCCCTTCTCTTCTGGGAGTTGCAACTTCCTCCTGGCTTTCTCACTGACTCTGCTGGGAATTTGGTAGGAAGTTGCTTCACATAATGACCGTGGGACTAAAAATGTGAACCAGGGCTGCAGAGATTGTATCCTTTAGCAGTGGAAATTTCAGGCCCAATTACCTTCATAAGTTGAGAACTACCTAGATATAAATTCACCCATATCACCGAATTCACATTTTATTGCTTTGTGTGTTTCTGTTCTGAGTACATTTGCTGTTTAGCATTTTTATTTGACATGTGCTTATACTTAAACACAGTACAGTACAAGATCTAGTTTTACTGGTAAAATTAACAATAATTTTCTTTATTTATGAAATACATTTTAAAAATTGTAGTAGAAGCTATATTAAAAAGAGGTAAGCCGTTCTTAAAATGAAGAGCTTTATTCATATTCACTGCTACTTCTTTTACCCTAACTTTCGGGGAGGGGGGGATTTATGTCACAATATTTTATATTGATTTTCAGGGAAACGTAAACTAATTTTTTGATTACATTAATACCAGTAACCAATTCTCTATGCTGATAAATACTTCAGAGTATCTTGTTCTCTCTACTTGTCAGACTTACCTATCTCGGTGCCTTCCAAATGTGTCAGGCTATAACTTTTATTAGCCATAATGTTCATTATAGGTAGTCCTTGCCTTATGATGACTATTGGGACTCAAGTTCTGTTTAAGTTAGTGATGTCATAAAGTGAGTCATCATGTGACCAGACTCAATTTTATGTTCATTTTTACCATGGTTGTTAAACAAATCATCATAGCTGTTAAGCAAGGCATGTTGTTAAATGAATCCGGTTTCCACAATTGATGTTGCTTGTCGGAAACCTGAGAAGTTCATAAATTGTGATCTCATGAACATAGCATGCAATGTCAGTGGAGGAGGCAGATTGGTGCAGTTTGCAGGCTATTATGGGGGAGCACTTTGTCAGTCTCTAATACTCATCACATATACTTTATATCCTTTTATATAATTTTAATAAGCTCTGCATCTAAAATAATGAGAGCCAGTTTGGTTTGGTACCAGGCTAGAAACCCAGTTCTAGTCCTGCCTTAGGCTCCCAGCCAGCTAGATGATCTTAGTCCAATCACTCTTTCGCAGCCCTAGGAAGGAGACAATGGCAAACCACTTCCAAAAACCCTCACAGAGAAAATTTTAAACTGGGATTTAAAATCATTCTATACATCATTATTTCTATTAGTATCCTCAAAATTAAAAACCTATTTAAATCCTCAAATTTAGCCTATTCACACATACCTTTACTTTCAAATGCAGCTTGCCAGTGTTAAGACTGTCCTAATAGAAGTTGTGTAAAAATGGTTTATTATTGGAAGAATAGCTCTCCTGTCTTCAATAGCCTAAAGTGTTTATTTCAGACCATGTTGTTTGGCATTTTCCTTTCCCAATTTGCTGCATTCTAGGTGTTTAGGGAATAGCTAAAATTACGTAGATTGCATCACAATAAATCTGAAAAATGTTCCACAATGCTAGGCCGTGAATATGATCTGAATTCTTTTTTTTTTTTTTCGGAATTCAGAAAAAAATACAGTCTGTCTTCTGTCTCGCTAGCTAATATGCCGTCCATCTCACCAAAGCTGACTTTTGCAAATGGATTGATAATAGAAGCCAGTATTGCACTTTTTATTATGTTTACTGTATTTTTGGGTGTTAGCTGGCATGTTCCTCTTATTTATAATTCTGCACTCGCGGACTTTATTCTTTTCCAGAGCAATCATGACTCATGCCTCAGTTCCAAAGGAAGACCGAGAAGTCCTCGGAATATCAGATACTTTAATTCGCTTATCTGTTGGATTGGAAGACTCAGAAGATTTACTAGAAGATTTGGACCAAGCTCTGAAAGCAGCAGTAAGTCACTTCATACTGTATTCACCACATAATGCACAAAGGAGTTATTAACTCCTTATAATTGTTTTATATTTTCAGGAAAAATAGTATTTTAAAAAAATAATTGTGATATATCTTTGGCCAAATAACTTGAAAAAAAAAATAGCACATTTATTTCATCAGGGTGTACAGCTGCTTTAATTTGCACGTAAACACCTAATTTTACTTTCTTTCTAATCACTTTTACTGATTAAAATTTACTGTTTATTTGGGTATTGTTTAATTTAATTTTTAATTTTAATTTAATTTTTCTTCTCAATACCATATATAGCTACTAGCCATTACAGATAGTCCTCAAATTATAAATGTAATGGAGCCTGCCCATTCCATTTGTGACCCGAGGATTTGTGGGACTGAATTTCGTACCTTGAACAGGATCACTCCCTTTCACCCATGCATTCACTAATCGAATGTGAGGCTCGTTAAGTACACACAAGGTATTTCATGATGGGGAACGCCATGGGGGGCCTAGTGATGGAACAGGCCACCTGCCTAAGATCACCCAAGGCCTCCCCGACCCACTGAAATACCCCATACTCCCCACAATTGCTTCCTCCCCCCCAACCTGCTGCACTAGGTCACTTACCTTGTGAAGTTCTAGCAAGCAGTCTACTCTCCAGCCTCTCAGCCACGTGCACCCCTCTGATGCTCCGTTCGGACCTCCAAATGCCTCGCCCAGTACATTGTTGGCTGAAATGGAGCTTCCACCCCTCAGAAGTTCCATTTTGGCAGGCAACGTGCCAGATGAATGTTGCAGAGCTTCTGCAGCTGTTCGTAAGGGCGAACAACTGCCGTGGTGCCACAAGATTCATAGTTTCGGGACTTGTTCGTAAACACTAGGGGGCGCTTATTGCTTAACTTCAAACATTCGCTAAGGGAACACTTGTAACCCGGGGATTACCTGTGTAATTATTTGCAGTATTAATAACAATACTAATGACTAAAAAAATGTAATTGCTTGTGGGATTCCCAAAGACTTCTCCTTCTTTGAGAATACTATACAGAATAAAATACTGAATTTGAGAATGATTTTATTTAATCCACCATGACAGTTATCATGTTGGCAACATTATTACAGGTAGTCCTCGACTTATAGCAGTTCATTTAGTGACTGTCCAAGGTTACAATGTCACTGAAAAAAAGTGACTTATGACCATTTTTCACGCTTATAACCATTGCAGTGTCCTTATGGCCACCTGATCAAAATTCAGACACTTGGTAACTAACTCATATTTATTATAGTTGCTGTGTCGTGGGGTCATGTAAATCAACTTTTACAACCTTCTGATAAGCAATGTCAATGGAGAAGCCAGATTCACTTAACAATGTTATTTACTTAACAACGGTAGTGATTGACTTAATGACTGTCGCAAGAAATGTCATAAAATGGAGCACAGTTCACTTAACAAATGTTTCACTGACCAACCAAACTTTTGGGCTCAGTTGTGATCGTAAGTCGAGGACTGCCTATACTTGTTTCACCAGTAGACAAGATTGTCCTTGTGAAAAACTATAATGAGGAAAAATAAAGCAAGGAATCAAGTTTGCTTTTATATGGGCCGAAGACAGGGCAGAGTAGCTTATATTTTTTCCAGCCTATAGAAAGGGTTGCTGTCCAATTATCGTGGAAGAGGATATATGCTGAGGAGAGCAAGAAATACAGATAGTCCTCAGATTACAACCATTCATTTAGCAACTGTTCGAAGTCACCAAGTAACTGAAAAATGTGACATCATTGGTCCTTGCACTTATAACCCTCATAGAATCGCCATGGTCATGTAATCAGAATTCAGGTGCTTGGCAACTGGCATATATTTATGCTAATTCCAGTGTCCTGGGGGTCCTAGTATCGCTATTTGAGACCTTTCCAACTAGCTCTTGACAAGCAAACTCCAGGAGAAACCATGAGTTGAGGATTATCTGAAGTATTGTAATCATCTAGAGGAGGAATATAGTGGGAAGAGCATTTGTGTTACTTAAAAAAAAAATCAAGAGGCCCAAATAATAGCATGATATGCATCATATAGATTTCTGGGGGCATCATGGTAAAATCTAAAGTTGGAATAAATATTTAAAAATAATAATAATTCTTTTTACTTGAAAAGCAATGATAATCTGCCTAGTTCATGGAATGATTAAGGTGTTGAATACAAATGGGGAGACCCAGGTTAAAGCTCTCATGGAACCTAGTTAGGTGACCTTTGGCTAGTAATGCCCTCTTAGCCCTAATCTATGTCAGGGTCTTCAGCAGGAGTGGGTTTCTACCGGTTCTGTCCACATCTGTAGAACCTGTAGCCCTGAAGAGCAGCAGACATAGAACCGGTTCCTGATTTTTTTCAACTTCAGCTGCTGTGGGAGGCACAGCTGCAGTTAAAAAAAGCAGGAAAAAAGGGCTTTTTGAAAGGCGGCTTCTCTGCACGCAGCATGCTGGTGACAATTTATAGGCGCGCTTGCTCCAGCAGCCTGCAGGGAAGCACATCGTAAATCACCGAACCTCGGTAAATGACCAAACTGGTAGTTAACCCTGTTGGATCCCACCCCTGGTCTTCAGCAAGCAAGCTGAGAAAGAAACAACTCCTCCTCCCATTATTACATAATGCATAGATAACTTTTCGTGTAAACTGCGCAAACACACTACAAAACATGTGGAAACACTGTGACCAAGCAGAACAAATATTAAGAACAAGAACCTGCAAACCAGCCAGAATTACTTTGATGTTTATAATTGCTTGCAAAGATTGTTCGACTTCATTATTCTATTAGAGTACAATTCTTTAATGTGGTGAAGCAAAGCAACTTGCCTATGAAAGACTAAATGTTTCTGTGTTCCAAATGTCCCTTTTGACAATTGAAAAACACGGAACTGATGCAATTTCACTCGTTTTCTCTTTCAACAGATTCCTGATTATAGAATCCGTAACTAGGATTCTAAACTTAAAGTTAAAGTTGCAATTGATTAATTTGCAAAATAACGGAAGGAAGGAAGATTACCTAGCTGCTCAGTCCTTCATGAATTTCCACTGGATTTGATTTATGGAAAACGGAGAAAACGTTATGGGTACATGTTGATATTCTCAGCTCACTGACTGCAAAGACTTTCAAATGAACTGTTTCTTAATCATTTGCTTCTTTTAATTTTAAGAATCAAAATATCCACTTTTACTACAGTAGTAGCTTTCGGATTACCATGATTCACATTCAGGATTATGTGCTTGCAATTGTTTGATAATATTTTATATTTATTCAGCAGATGCTGATGTTACTTGGGGCTGAGCTAAGCTGTAAATCAGGGCTACAGCTTAATAATGCACATGAAGACCGTTAAAGATTAGAAAATACATAAATATTATGTAACAGCTTTCAAACTAGTGCTATGTCAGTCATCAGGTTCCCCGTTCACTATTTACTCATGATGGTTATAGACTAATGAAGAAATGAATGGGAGCAAACTTAAGTTCTGAAAATGTGAGTCTGATAAAAGCTTAATGACCAGATCTGTTTTTTGTCTTTACTGTGCAATACTGAAAAATGAAGCAAAGTTAATTACACAATGCCACATGTGTTACTTTTTTTAAAGTATTGAATTTGATTTGATGTCTCTTTTGATTTAGCATATTTAATTATATGTTTGATTATATTTCTCATCTTGAAGGTCTGAAATTCTTGGTAAGTTAATTGTTTGAGATTAAGTACTGTTTCCATAAGCAATACTACTAATATATTGATTTTAGGTCCAATTTACTTGAAGAATTGTTTAGAAAAATGGTGTGGAAATCTAAAGATTATAGCTGCAAAATATTTTTCTATGTGCTTGGCCTTGTTGTGTTAGTTCCCTTATACTTAGTCCTTCAAGAAATCTTGTGATAAGGTATTGAGAAATTAAATATTAAAATATGGAATTAAACCAGCAATTGGGACTTATCCAGAATAATTTTGAATCTCCTTGTGTTTATTGAATTGCACTCTCTCTTGTCAACAATCTCTACAAGATTCTGATTATTCATTCATTCATACATACTTACATACAGATGTAGAGACATTTTCAAATTAATTCAATTAAAGAAACAATTTTACAAATACTGTGATTAGGGGATCAGTGATATTGAAAATTCTGCTCATAACTCAACTAAGGAAAAATGCTACAAGCTCCAACCCATCATGGAATCCATATAGGGAAAACGTACCGATTCATTGGAGTAATTTTACATGACAAAAAAGGTTATGCATAAGTTGTTCTTGGTATGATCATGGCCAATATTTGCTACTACATCTTTAACAAACTTGAGAATCATTTCAATTACAATGGACTACTGGAAGAAAACTTTATGATATCCAGAATGAATCATTTGATTATTCCTATTTTGTAAATATATATGTATGTTCATTACAAGGAGGAAATTTTAGCATGTCACAACATGGTAAAAATTAATTCTAGGTTCAAATTGGAGCCAAAGAAATATAAAGCAACTAGAATTTAGAATTTCATTATTAAAACCAATATGGTTTCTCCTGTCTGTAACTATCACCAAATGTCTTTATCTATTCTGACATTTTCTGAAAGGAAACAGTAATCTGGATGATATTAGATAAATTCATAAATAATATTTGCTGTCATGGTGGGTCAATATTTTGGAATCTAAAAACATTGACGCACAAGGTCTATGGAGATGCTCAGTCATCCAGGTCATGGTTGTCCCAAAGGTGTTTTTTTTCAAGAGGCAACTGGACTTTCAGGTTTTTCTTTGAAGACATTTTGCTTCTCATCTAAGAAGCTTCTTCAGCTCTGACTGGATGGTGGGGAATGAAAGGATTTATACTTCTTGCAGACAGCTGGTCATTTGATTAATGAGGCCATTTATGTCAAAATTGAACAGTCCTCTCAACAGAGGGGGAGGGATACAACATTTATCTCCAATCTCCAGCACAGTCCTTTCAACAGTTCCAAGAAGGCTCCACACCAGTTTGCACCACTCAGATGACCCCCATGATACAAATAAACCTCCAGGTGATCTTAACAACCCGCTAAAAGAATGCAAATGACCAGCTGTCTGCAAAGAGTATAAATACCTCCATTTTCCTCTGTCCAGTCAGAGCTTAAGAAGCTTCTTGGATGAGAAGTGAGATGTCTTCAAAGAAAAACCAGAAAGTCCAGTTGCCTCTTGAAAAAAAAAGCTCATTTGGGATTAACTCACACTGTTTTCCTAAGTGTTATTTTCCTGCAATAATCATGAGTATATGTAATACTGTTTTAGAATGAAGTTTGACAAGTTGCTTGTTTTATTTTTATATGTTTATTCAGATGGGTTTCTGAATATTTTTTTTGTTCAATTAACTTGTCTTCTTCAGGCAACTTAGAACCACCCATGGTTTCCTAAGCCTCTTTTTTCTCCTCTCAGAAAAGATAATTTCACAATGATTTTTAATGTAGGCAGATGAGACTGATACGTCAAGTCACCTGTTCCTGAGGTCTGTTTCTTCGTTGACTCTTCTTTAGGAAAATTTGTTTAGGTTATTATAATTCCAAGTTAAAATCGGTGTATTATTGTAACATACAAAAATACCAATGAATGCTTGCTTCCTTGAATCATGCCTTTTCCAAAATCTGCAACAGCTGTCCAGATGGCCATTTTGCTTCCAGCCAGAATGGGGAGGGTTGTGATAAACGTT